GGGCGTCGCCGCCGTCCGCTATGGCGTCCCTGTGCTGCTCCGCGCGCGGAGTTCACTTTCTGGCGAGTATGACCCATGAAAGGACCATTGGAATACATTTGCGCAGGCCCCCGGGGGCCGAACATTATCATATTTCTGGGGAAGCATGGTCAAACCTGAAACACGGTTCTCAAGTCCGAAAAGAGTTTTGTTAGTTCGAGACAAATTTCGATTTGGAATTCGAGAATGTTTTGTGTCAAGGTGTTTTCAGTTTGTTTTCAAATTGAGGAAGTTGGTTCACATTATAAGAATGTTTCTCAAGTGCGAACCATGTTTTCCAGAAATCTTATTTTTGTTGGCCCCGTGAGGGCCTGCGCAAATGCATTCCAGTGGTCCGCCAGGGGTCGGATTCGCAAGAAAACTGATTCCATGGAGCAGCAATGGGACGCCATAGTGGACGGCGACGACGACCACGGGGACGACGACGACGACGAGGACGACGATCACGACGAGGACGACGACGAGGACGACGACGACGACGACGACGACGACGGGGACGTTTGCGACGACGACGACGACGACGACGGCGACGAGGACGACGACGAGGAGGACGACGACAACGACGAGGACGGCGGCGACGACGACGGCGATTGCGAGGAAGACGAACACGACGGCGACGAAGAGGAGGAGGAGGACGACGACGATGAATGTGACGAGGACGATGGCGGCGACGGCGACGGCGACGGGAACGACGACGACGACGAGGGCGTCGACGACCGCGACGTCGACGACGACGGCGACGAGGACGACGAGGACGACGACGAAGACGTCGAAGACGACGGCGGTGACGGCGTCGAGGACGACGACGGCGACGACGGCGACGACGGCGAAGAGGACGATGAAGACAGCGACGACGACGACAGACGGGAGGAGAAGGAGGAGAGGGGGGAGGGGAAGAGGGGAGAATAGGGAAAGGGGCGCAGAGTGGGGAAAAGAGGAGGGAAGGGGAGGGCGAGGACGAGGGACGATGAGCCCAAAGACCCAACGTTCTGAATAATCAAGGCGGCGGTCTGTCCCCGCATTGTTGTATATGGGGGCCCTCGGCGGGCCCAAGGCCGCCAAGAAACGACCCTGAATGAAATCGCAAGACAGCTCGCCGCTTGGCCCCCGCCGCCAACCCAAGCGGCGAGCATGCATCGGACGCAGCCCCGCACGCATGTGGATGTCCAGCCAGGCTTGGCCGGGTCGGCGTGCTCGTCGCTTTTGGTGTCGTCGTGGTGGCGACGGTCCTCGTGTCCGCCGGTTCCGTCGCTGCCGCCGCTGTCGTCGTCGTCGTCGTCGTCGTCGTCGTCGTCGCAGCAAACGCGTTCGCCGCGCCGCCGCTGTCGCCGTCGCCGTCGTCGTCGTCGTCGTGTTTGTCGTCGTCGTCGTCTTCGTCGTTGTTGGTCGTCGTCATCATCCTCGTGCTACTCGCATTCCTCCCCGTCGGCCGAGATAAAAAACGTCGCCTACTTGTTGCGCCGAACGTTGAGCCCCCGGTCGCCGAGAACAAAACCGCCTCCCATTGGTCGCGCGCTAGGTTGCGCCCTCGGCGGCCGAGAATGAACCCGCCCCCTGTCGGTCGCGCCATAAGTTGCGCCCTCGGCGGCCGACGAGACAACGTCCTATTGGTGGCGCCATGGGTTGGGCCCTCGGGCGCCGAGAATAAAACCGTCTCCGATTAGCTTCGCCATGGGTTGCGCCCTCGGCGGCCGAGAGTGAAAGCGCCATAAGTTACGCCCTCGGCCGCCGAGAACCTGCGGCGCGCGCGCGGCGGGCCTCGAGGGGGAGGGGGGAGGAAGAGCAAAACAAAACACGAGGGGACGGGCCCCGGGAACGCGGCAGAGGGGGCGGCGGGGGGGGGGGGGGGGGCGGCGCGAAATAATGCGGTCGGGGAGGGGGGGGGGGGGGGCGCGCTCCTGGGGGCGAGAACGGGGGGCCGCTGGGGAGAGCTGGGGGCGGGGGAAGAGGAGAGGGGCGGGGCGACGCGGAATAAAAGGGCCGGGGCGGAGGGGGCAGTCGGCCGCTGGGAACAGACGGGCGCCGAAGACAAGGGGGCCGCTGAGGGAAGAGCTGGGGGCAGAGGGGTGGGCAACGCGAAATGCAGTAGTCGGGGCTCCAGTCGCCCTGTGCAAGAGGACAAAACCGTCTCCCTTTGGTTGCGCCATAGGTTGTGCTTTCGGCGGCCGAGAGTAGAACTGTCTTCTACTGGTTGCGCCATAGGTTGCGCCCTCGGCGGCCGAAAATAAAATCGTCGTCTATGTGTTTCGCCATAGGTTGTGCCCTTGGCTGCCGAAAATGAAGCCGCCTGCTGTTGGTTGCGCCATAGTCTGTGCCCTCGGCGGTCGAGAATATGAACCCGTCTCTCACTGGCTTCGCCTGGTTGCGCCCTCGGCGGCCGAGAATGGCGCCGTCGTTTTGTGGTTGCGCCGTAAGTTGCGCCCTCGGCGGCCGAGAACATTTCCGTCTCCTCCCGGTTGCGCCACGGGTTGCGCCCTCGGCGGCGGCTGGGAATAAAACCGTCCGCTATCGGTTGCGCCAAAGGTCGCGCCCTCGGCGGCCGAGATGAAACCTTTTCCTATTGGTTGCGCCATGGGTTGTGCCCTCGGCGGCGGCTGAGGATGAAACCGTTTGCTATTGGTTGCGCCATAGGTTGTGCCGTCGCCGGCAGAGAATCCTCCCATTGGTTGCGCCATCGGTTGTGCCTTCGGTGGCCGAAAATAAAACCGCCGCGTAGCGGGTGCGGCTAGTCGATTGGTCAGTCTGTCAGTCTGTCTGTCTGTGTCAGTCAACCAGTCAATCAGTCAGTCGGAGTTTACCGCGCGATAAACAAATTCGGGCTACGCTCACAAAAAACCGCATGAGCGATGTGTCGGGGATCCTGGGCCCGCAAAGTAAAAACGCCAAGATGTCAGATGTTGGGGGGGGGCGAAGAGCAAAACGCGTTTTGATTAGCGGCGCGGCGGATGCGTCGACCTCCGCTTTCGGGCGCGGCCGCGGTGCCCTTTTAGAGGCAGCGCCCGGGGCGACGCGCAGCCAAAGGCGCCATCTTGGGCCGGATCAGCCGTCTCGGAGGCCGTTATGGATCGTTTCGGCGCCGTCTTGATGCCCCCCTTCGGGCTTGTTGGGCGTGATTTCGGCCGGCCTGGCAACGTTTGGGCCGAAACCCGATGGGCAAAAACGCCATATTTATCGATGAGCGTTGTGAGGATCAGTGGGCGCGGGCCGCATGGGAGCACCTTGGGGTCCTCTTGGGCCGTCTTCGAGGCATCTCGGGTCGTCTTGAGGCCGTTTTCGACCGTCCCGAGGCCCCCTTGGGCCGCGGCGCGGGCGGCGGGGCCGCGACGGCCAGGTGAAAACATGTCTCTGCATCGTGGACTCATTGGTCAGACCCGCACATGGGGGCAGTGGGAGACCGTTCGGCCCCGCCGCTCTGGCGCGGCGCTGTGGGTGGCTTCGAAAAAAGGCGCCGCGCGAACTTGATTATGGATCCGCCTCGCTTTCCTACGGTTCGGATCCGAACAAAAGCGCGCTTTGCTGCGCGCGACTTCAACAACGAATAGGAACGCCAAACAGTCGGTCTGGCAGCTCCGTGCCTGCCGTTGCCGCCCCTTTGCCGCCTGGTCGCTGCCCGCTGCCTGGGCCTGTCATGTCGCCTTTAGCTGAGCGGTGCCTGGCCCGCCTCTGCATTGGCTGCCGTTGAGCAGATCCTGGGGACTGTGCCGTGAACAGCTCCTCGAGCTCAGGCGTTACCGCGATGGCGTCAGCCTCGCAGGTGGCGGCGCGGATCCAGACGACGTTGTCAGCTGTGCCGAGAGTGATTTGGAAGACGTTTTGGAAGCCCTTGACCATCCTGTCCGAGTTGGTAGATTGTCCTTTGGATGTGTTCTGGCGTGGGTTTGGTAGCGTTTGCCGTGCGGCGGAGCTCTGGTATTAGGCTTTTTCTGAGCGTGGGTAGTCCGCGTTAGTGAATGGGGGCCAGTACTGCGAGCACCATAGCTCTGTCCTGAATGCGGATATGCTGTAGTAAGCAGTCGCCGTCCTCTAGCGTGTGAACTGAGGTGTTTCTGTAGCACGACGTCCCGTGACCATCCCTCTCGGGCGCGGTGGCAAGGGTGACGTCCCTCGTGTGTGCATCCAGGCTGGCGAGAGGGGCTCTGCCTTTGCCCTCGCGGGCATCGGCGTCAACCGCGGTCCCTAATGGCGGACAGGGGGGGAAGGGGGAGGGAGAGGTATGTGAGTGTGCGTGTGGGTGTGCGTGTGCGTGTGCGTGTGTGTGGTGTGGTGTGGTGTGGTGTGGTGTGGTGTGGTGTGGTGTGGTGTGGTGTGGTGTGGTGTGGTGTGGTGTGGTGTGGTGTGGTGTGATATGGTGTGGTGTGGTGTGGTGTGGTGTGGTGTGGTGTGGTGTGGTGTGGTGTGGTGTGGTGTGGTGTGGTGTGGTGTGGTGTGGTGTGGTGTGGTGTGTGTGTGGTGTGTGTGGTGTGTGTGTGCGTGTGTGTATATGTGTGTATGTGTGTGTTTGTGCGCGCGTGCGTGCGTGCGTGCGAGCGTGCGTGCGTGCGTGCGTGCGTGTGTGTGTGTGTGTATATGTGTGTGTGTGTGTGTTTGTGTGTGTGTGTGTGTGTGTGTTGTGTGTGTGTGTGTGTGTGGTGTGTGTGTGTGGTGTGTGTGTGTGTGTGTGTGTGTGTGTGTGTGTGTGTGTGTGTGTGTGTGTGTGTGTGTGTGTGTGTGTGTGTGTGTGTGTGCGTGCGTGTGTGTGTGTGTGTGTGTGTTTGCGTGTGTGTGTGTGTGAGAGAGGCGGATGCGTTGGTGGTTGGGGGTGGGCAGGGGTAGGGGGCGGAGGTGTGGTGGGGAGGTGGGGCCAGGCGAAGTACTGGAGGGCGGGATGAACAACAAAAACCAGGACGCTCTCTCCCTCCGCCCGTGGTGTTTCCTGTTGGGACCTGTTGCCTCCCCCCCAGCCATAGTTTCAACCGACCGAG